GCCGGGGCGGGGCACGTCGTGGTGGGAAGGCGCGTGTGGGCCGGGCCGGCGAGGAGACGTTGCCGGCACGACGTAGGGGGCAGCGGCGCAATCAGCGGACGCGGACGGTGTTTCTGTCCGTGGGTGGCCGTAGTGGTCGGAGCAGCGAGGTGCGGTCGGAGACGGTTGTTCGAGTTGTGGGTTTTTAGTTTTTTTATTTGTCTTTCATTTTTTGTTGTTGTTGTTGTTTTTTTTTTGTGTTGAGACATGAGTCTCGCTGTTGCCCAGGCTGAGTGAGTCCGTGGCGTCAGCCCTGCTCACAGCAGCCTCCGCCGACTCTGGCTCAAGCGAGCCTCCTGCTCGCCTCCTCCCGGTAGGCTGGAGCTTACAAAGGGCAACGCGCCACCGATGGCCCCCGGCGCTCATTGATTCTTTTGCGTATATATACTAGTGGGAAATTAATTCTTTCTATTGATAGTAAGACGGGGGACTCTCGCCTCTTGCTCAGGCTGTTGCGGACTCCCTGACCTGCGCGATCCTCTCCGCGTCGCTGCCCAGAGAGCTGGGAGACAGGCGTGAGCGCCGCGGCCAGTCTAACGATTATTCCTTTCATTTTTATTATTTTTCTTCTCTTTGGAATGAGTTTAAGACCCGCAAACTTTTCAAAACAGGCGGCCCGTTCAGCTGTCCTCACGGTTCGGAAGGGCCCGGACTATAGTAAAAAAGCAAAACAAAACTATGAACGATCCTATCACAGGCGCAGAATCTTATCTTTGACAGTCAAAAAAACATAATGGAGGCCGAGGTGACAGAGAACTCGTCAAGGTCAGCGAATTGGAGGCCAGGCCTGAGTAAGCAGCGAAAGAAAGCTTTTGTTTGACTTTTTGTTTCATTTCTATCGAACAGAGGTGGTAAGAATTTTTCTTCTTATCGTTTAATACAATTTTGTTATTATCAATTTTCCTTTTTTTATTTCACTCAACAATAGTTTTTTACAATTTTTTTTTTTTTTTTTTTAAATTTACCTCCCCTCCGCAGCCGCGAATAAATGAAGCTATTTCGAATCTGTCTTCCAGGTGTGGCGAGACCGGTCACGTAGCCATCAACTGCAGCAAGACGAGCGAAGTGAACTGCTACCGCTGCGGGGAGTCGGGGCACCTGGCGCGGGAGTGCACGATCGAGGCCACCGCCTAACTCGGTCCCTCTGTCGCCCCTCCTTTTTCTGATTGATGGTTGTATTATTTTCTCTGAATCCTCTTCACTGGCCAGAGGTGGGCAGGTAGAGGCGACTTCCCAGGCCAGTGAGCTTTTTACTTGCCGTGTGTAAAAAGGAGATAAAGGGGTGGAACAAAAAAAAAAAAAAAAAAAAAAAAAACCAAAAAAAAAAAACCGACTTTCTGCATTTAACTACAAAAAAAAAAAAGTTTATGTTTAGTTTGGTAGAGGTGTTACGTATAATGCTTTGTTAAAAAGAACCCCTTTTCCGTGCTACTGGTGAATTAGGGAATTGGAGAGTGGGTAAAGAGGCGAGTCAGACCTCACTTGCCACGGTGAAGCCCGTGTCCTTCGTTTTCTCGACCATCCTGTTCCCAGCGTTAGGAGGTTGAAAACCGGCTCTGGAAGCTTCCCTGAGCTTCCAGTGACGACTTTGATAGCTTTGAACGTTAGCACATTGGAGGTGATGATGATGATGATGATGATGATGGCCTTGGGATCGTCCGACCTCAGTAGCTAAAAAAAAAAAAGCAAACAAATAACATCGAATAACATCTGTCCATATCAGGCCCTACGTAGAACGTTTAACAGTTGAGTTGGGAGTAGACAAAGGTTTAAAAAAAGAGACAAAAAAAAAAAACAACAACATACACACACACACAACAACACGCGTGTTTAACGGCTAGGCCGGAACTTGAGCACAGCACACGTGCTGTGAGTTGTAGATGTGAGTGTTGACAAAGTTTAACACGTTTTTTCCTTGGAAGACCGAAATCGAAAGCCAGGAGTAGACAAAGACATCCATGCTCAAAAAAAAAAATAAAAAATAAAAAGAGAGGAGAGAGAGAAGAGTTAGCATAATTTGGGAGCTATTCAGGAATTGCTATGAATGCATTTTCACAGAAATCAAGATGTTATTTTTGTATACTTATATCACTTAAGACAACTGTGTTTTTTTCCTTTGCAGTAATCAGTTTTTAAAAGTGAGATGGGGAAAAAAAAAAAAAAAGAAGCAACTGAAGTCCTAGAGGAAAAAAAAAATAGAAATGTAATTTTAAACTATTCCAATAAAGCTGGAGGAGGAAGGGGAAGTTTGACTAAAGTTCTTTTTTCGTTTGTTGGAAATTTTCATTCATGTATATATATATAGTGAAAAAAAAAAAAAAGAGAAAAAAAAGAAATGCCATTATTAAAGAGGGGACTGTGGAGGACTCAAAGCTGACCGTTTGGACTTTTCTTTTTTCTTGCTGACTTTCAGTCAACTGTCTGCTGCGGGTAGCGGAAAATTGGCGGAACCAGGGGGTAGGGGGGTAGGGTTTTAGATAAAAACTTCGACGTCCGGCACTTGTTTTGCAGAGCTGCTTAAAAAATTCTCCGTATAACTCGTTAACAATCGTGCTCTTTTTTTTCTTTTTCTTTTTTTTTACTTTTTTCTTTTTTAGAGATGAGAGTCTCATCACTCTGTCACCCGGGCTCTAGAGTGAGTGCAGTGGGGTCAGCCTCGCTCTGAGGTTGGTTGACACTGAGCCACGGGTCACTTGGGTTCCCTGGCAGAGCCAGTCACCAGGGTCCAGACTGTCGCCCGGGTCAATTTGCCGAGTCCCCTCACCTGACCTCCTCCTTGTGGCCGGGGACAGTTGTGTGGCAGTGGCCCCCAGGGGCCATTGCCTTCAGCCTCCACCCCCAAGTCCTGTATATCTGGGAGGTGACTCCTCTCGATCCTTCCCCCTCCCCTTAAGTGGCCTTTTTCTCCCAGGACCTTGAGTTCTTTAAAGTCTCGCTCTGTCGCCCAGGCTAGAGTGAGTGCCCTGGCGTCAGACTCGCTCACAGCAGCCTCCTCCAACTCCTGGGCTCAAGAGATCCTCCTGCCTCGGCCTCCCTCCGGAGTAGCTGGGACGACAGGCACGCTCTACCACGCCCAGCTAGTTTTTTTTCTATATATTTTTAGTTGGCCAATTGATTTCTATTTTTTAGTAGAGAACGGGGTCTGCCTCTTGCTCGGGGTGGCCTCGAAGTCCTGACCTCGAGTGAGCCTCCCACCTTGGCCTCCTCCCGAGTGGCTGGGGCTACAGGCATGAGCCACCACGCCCGGCTCGTTTTTTCTATATTTGTTTTTAGTTGTCCAGCTCATTTCGTTCTATTTATAGTAGAGACTGGGTCTCCCTCGTGCTAAGGGTGGCCTCCAACTCCTGGCCTCTAGCAATCCTCCAGCCTCAGCCTCCCTCCCGAGTAGCTGGGACTACAGGCATGCGCCACCTCACCCGGCTCACTTTTTTCTCTATATATATGTTGGCCAATTAATTTCTTTCTATTTATAGTAGAGATGGAGTCTCTTGCTCAGGCTGGCCTCGACCTCCTGCTCTCGAGCGAACCTCCCTTCTCGGCCTCCCAGCGTGCAGGAGTGACAGGCGTGAGCCACCGCACTGGGCTGGACCTTGAATCCTTCAAGGAGGATGTGCCCAAGCCTTGTGTGCCCAACTCTGAAAGAACAATCCAGAACGTTCCCCCCCCACCCCCCAGCAGAGCAGCCACAACACCCTCGCACAAGCCCCTGCACGAAAAGCCCCTTCCTTCCGCGTTGCCCATCGCTATCGCGAGAGATTGCACATTTGGTATCGCGATAACAAACCGGGCCTCCGTAAGGTAGTGCACGCGCATCAGAAGGCGCATGCGCAGTTGTAACACTCCCTTACGCACGCGCTATGGGAACTACGCACTGGCGCTACGAGGAAGGCCACGCCCCCAGGAGCGTGCCAACCAACACGCAGTTACGATATCGGGGAGGCCACGCCCCCAGTAAGTAGCCCGCTGACCCCACCCCTCAAGGGAGCGTCGCAAAGACGCTACGGAAAAGGCCACGCCCCCAGACGCGTGCCCACCACTACGCACTTACGCTACGGCGAAGGCCACGCCCCCAGCAAGTAGCCCGCTGACCCCACCCCTCAAGGGAGCGTCGCAATGACGCTACGGAAAAGGCCACGCCCCCAGGAGCGTGCGCTCTCACACGTACACACTCTAAGGCGCAGACCACGCCCCCAGTAAGTAGCCCGCTGACCCCAACCCCTCCAGGGAGCGTCACAAAGACGCTACGGGAAAGGCCACGCCCATAGCAGCGTGCCCACCCCACCCCTCAAGGGAGCGACGCACGGACGCGACGGCAATGGCCACGCCCCCAGTAGCCTTCTGACCCCACCCCTCAGGGGGAGCGTCGCCAGGACGCTACGGGAAAGGCCACGCCCCCAGGAGTCTGCGGAGGCCACACCTCAAGGCAGGGACGCACTGACCCGGTATGGGCAGGCCACGCCCCCACGAGCGTGCCGACCCCGCCTCCCCAGGCCGAGGCGCACTGACGTTACGAAAAGGCCACGCCCCCAGGACCATGCGGCTATATTGTGCCCTCGATCGTCGCCGATGCGGCACTTCCGGCCACTCACTTCCGGTCCGTCCCCTTTATCCCTCCGCCGACAACGTGAGTTCCCGCGGCCAGGCGGAGCCCCCGGTTCCCGTGAGGGTCGTCTTCGACTGGGGCCGCGGCGACTGTCGCCCTCGGCGACACCATGGTGAGTCGGGGCGGCCCGGGGACGCGGCGGGCGGGCGGGCGGGCAGGATGGGGTGCCGGAAGTTTGAGGGGTGCTGCGACAGCGACGCCGCCGCCCACCGCCGCGGGCTCCGGGGTCCCCCGCTGTCACTCTGGGGGGGGGTGGGCTCGGCCGCCTGTCGCCGTGGCAACCCGCACCGGAAGCGCGGAACCCCGAAACGCGCGTTTCCGCCACGAAGCCCCCCCCCCCCGGGGTGTCGCCCCAAGTCCCCACGGGGACTCTCGGGGGGCGCCGCCGGGGTTTTGGGGTTCCCCGTCCCTTCCGGTCCGACCCCGGAAGCCGGCGGGGGTCGCTTCCGGCGTGTCTGTGTGTCTGCTTGGCTTTATTTCGTTTTTACGTGTTTATTTCTATTTGTAAGACTTTGTTTTTTACTTATTTATTTTTTATTTAATTTCATGTGTTTTTGTCTATTTTTATGTGTTTATTTAGTTTTATTTATAAAATTTTGCTTTTACTTCATTTTTATCTATTTTAATGCAATTTTATGTGTTTTTATTTAATTTTTGTGTATTTTTGTTTGTAAAACATTTTTATTTATTTTTACTTAATTTTATGTGTTTTTATTTATTTTTATGTATTTGTTTTTATTCATAAGATTTTATTTATTTTTGTTTAATTTTATGTTTTTATTTGTTTCATTTTTATGTATTTATTTTATTTGATTTCATTTTTATTTCATTTTAGATATTTTTTATTTTATTTCTATACATTTTTTAATTTCATTTTTTTTTTATTTCGGCATATTATGGGGGTACAGATTTTAAGGTTTCAATAAATGCCCTTTCCCCCCTCCCCCCTAGTTTCATTTTTATACAGGTGTTTATTCTTATATATTTTTCAATTTTATTTTTATTTATCCTTAGTTTATTTTTACATATATTTTATTTTATTATTTATATATGCATTTTTAAATTTTATTTTATTTTATTTGTTTTTTTGAGACAGAGTCTCGCTTTCTT